TGTTAGATATGATACCAGAATAACTTAGCAAGCTTTATGAGTAGAATCTTTACAAAAACCATAGTGAGTAAAGTCAGCGAGTGAGCTAGGTAATTTTTTCTAATATTGCCAATTTTGGGAACAGCTGTGAGGATGCTACATACTGTTTGGTTAGATTTAATTAAAAAAAATAGACAAATCACTTTTTTTTTTTAATTTTGGGGGGATTCTATATGTAAAATAAAGTTTTTACATTATTGCTACAGAGTTTTGTACTATGAAATCTTGCTTGGAGCCCTGAACTTGGCACAGAGGTGTAAATTGGTTTTAAAATATTTCTGTTTAAGCCCTATGCAATAGCATAAAATTACAGCACACAGTAGCTATGGAGATGACATTGACATTTTTTAATTTGGTTGAAATATAGCCATAATATCACAAATGAACAAAATGACGTGCATCAAGGTCCCATTACATTCAATGCATTGTCTCAGTTTTATAAATAATAGTCATGTATGACAGTGATCTGGGCCTAGAATGGCAGAAATACTTGATTTTGGTGTATTTGTAACATTAATATGGCTATGATTCAATTATCTTGAATAAGATTGCCAAACAAATACCTGAGCATATGTGGGACATAAAGTATAAATAAAGTTTGAATATGACTGGTCAAGGCATGTCAAAGATACATTTGTATCGAGGCCAACATTCTGCAAATTTAAATCTGATCTAAAATTATCATACCAGGAATTTTAAAACAAATTTGTGAATAAAATCACAGTTTGCCAGTATAGACATGTGGCATTTTAGGATTTATTAAAAAATTGTAAAATAAACAAGTGAAATAAAAGAAATGCAAGCAAAACTATTGATACAAAGTATGTGTGTTTTTGTATCCGAGGGATATCAAACACTGTATCCAGAAATAATTTGGGAGTGTAATAATACTACCGGGTATTATTAATTGTAAAAAATATACATTGTATGTAAAATACAGCTGTCGCATAGGCTTTGGCTTTATTTTCACTGCAGCATCGCTTCACATAAACAAAAAGCAGCTTTGCTACAATGTGGCATCACCTTCACTTCACATCAGCTTCAAGTACAAATTAATATGTTTATAATCACATTAATTCATATTTATTTGTTTTTGAATGTTAAAATTATAGTAATGACCCTTTAACCTTGATTTTATCGAAATGCAATAATTTATTTTCAGCAATATTCTGACTTGAATGTAAAAAATATAATTGGATGATTGCCATGCTTGCAAAGTAAATCAACATGATGCCTGGGTTTATTTTCCGTACTGTTGATGTATACACTTAAGCAGAGAACATGGACAGAGTGATATAAAACAATGTAAAATAAAATAAATCCAACACCACAACCTTAAAAACCGTGACTTATCAAGAGTTGTGACTTGCCAAGGGGTTACATGAGGGGTTGGGGGTTATGCAATAAAAATGGATAACAAGCAGCCTCTGATAGGTAGCTCTGCTGTTAGCAATGCACTAAAAACCTGAAAAGTTGAAAATTTCACTTTTTACCAAAAATTAGAGAATTCAAGATATCATAACAAAATGAACAAATCTAAAAGAGGTTGGCCCAAGGTACATATAAAAGCAATAAGAATTGTAATTTTGAAGAAGAAGTCAAACAAGCAGCCTATCGGCTGAGATAGCTCCGCTGTTAGCAATGCACATTTCAATTAAAGAACTCGGACTTACAGTTTTTAACAAGAAGTCGAAAATATCACTTTCTATCAAAAATGACCAAAATATTCACCAAAATTAGAGAATTGAAGATATCATCACGAAATGAACAAATCTGAGAAAGGTCTACATGTAGTATCTATATGTGTAATATCAAAGCAATTGAACTTTTGGTTTTTAACAAGAAGTCAAAAATATCACTTTTTACCAAAAATTACAAAAATATTCACCAAAATTAGAGAATTGAAGATATCATCACAAAATGAACAAATCTGAGAGAGGTCCACATGTAGTACCATATATATGTAAT